ATTGCTCGATCATCGATAAAAAGCTATAGTTTTGCTTTAAAAGAATCACATCTTTGGCAGCACATGTAACGGTGTGCATTATGTAACAAATTACTTGTAACAAGTTAATAACTAATCATCCAAGCAACTATAGCTTCACAATTTCCCTAATTAAGAAAGCTATATTTTTACATGCTTTCCTTTTATGTAGTTAAGCAAAAAAGTAGACATTTGAGGACTAATCATCCAAGCAACACTAGCTGCACAATTTCCCTAGTTAAGAAAGTCCAAAGGAGGATACTCAGGAAGTTATTTAACCTATAAAAAAGATCTGTTGAGATATTGTTGACCCTAAAAACTACCAAGCCTACGTGATGCACATATCGAGTAACTAATGAGCTAACTACATCCATCGGTTAATGTGGGGCGTGCCTACTCGTCGGTCGAGGAGTAAAATTTGTTGATGTTGCATTGAGTGCGTTGCTGACTTCTTGATCTTGCGACTGCGACTGAAGAAGGAACACGCCTCGGCCTTTAGATTATAGAGCCTGAAGATAAGGCCGAAGTTCAATATCAAATTTGGCTTTCAATGTGCCGAATGTAGTAACCTGTAACACCTCATTTTGCCGAGATGGCTAATGAGATGACTTTTGCCAATGAGGATTCGAAAATCCTTCTTGACCGAGACTTGGATAGATAACCAGTCGGTCTCGACGCAGTGCTGTTTATCCAAACTGAAGGTGCTCCAGGAACTGCTGATTCTAAGGCAACAGTGTTGTTTATCCAAACTGAAGATGTCACCGGTTGCACCTTCACAGTGCTGTTTATCCAAAGTGAAGGTGTGTTGGATGAAAAAGAAAATAAAAAAAATCTCAAGATGTTTGAGACGTTTGCGCAAAGCAATTTGTGTGTTGAATTGGAGATAGCTTTTCTGTTATCTGCATCTTTGTATTTACGGCCAAGTCTCCTTGATCACCAATCCAATAAAGCCTTTTCCCGGATATATTCCAAAAAACAATATCAAAACAATTGATATTATCTTTAATATAATCTGCCAAAAATCTCGCCAGCCTCCTTACGTTGCTTCCAGACTTTCACAAAGAGACTTTCAAAATTCAAAGCACCCTTATCATTTCAAACCCATCTGTCACATCCATCACCAAGCAAAACAAAAAGCCTAGTCTACCTAGGTTTCCTATGCCATCATTATCCATGACTATTATTTTCTTTAAATGATATCAAATCCCATCATTATCCACGACTATTATTTTCTTTAAAGGGGTATTTGTCGTTTTCCCCCCTGAACTTGTAAGGAACTACCAATTTCCCCCCTATACTTTAATTTTAGCCAATTACCCCCCTGAACTTGTAAAATTGGCCAATTTACCCCCTGATGTTAGATTTGAGAATTTTCCATCCAATTTTCCATCCAACTCAGTCACATGCACAGCACGTGCCAATTTTTTTAGGGTAAAAAAGTAATTTTATTCATAATGTGGACATTATATTTTTCTTCTTCTCTTCCGCTAGTTCACTTCGAACAATTTTATCTAAATTAACCATAAAAGTCTAATTAGCAACTGCAAAATATTGGCTCAGCGCCCAATTTACCAAAATGAAATTAACGATTCTTACTACAATAAAGTTAACAACATCCACAAAAAATATGCAACAGACTTGCACCTAGTGCCAAAACCAATAAAACCTATCAATTTTATAGTTCTGCAGCATAATCCCATTAAAAGAACAACTTAACCTCAACACCAAAGATTTTCATTAACAGTACGAAAGGCCCTCCAACACATCATAGTTACACTCTCCATGGTCTTGCTTTTTTGGCAACATGTTGGGGTTGTGATGCCATTTCATTAGCCTTCCTTGTGACTTGATTCACACGACCACCTCGGTTCACCTATTTCAATTCAACACGGAAGCAACAAAAATGTTAGCAAACCCAAAACAACAAAAATTAATCTATAACAATTTTTTTTTTAAATTAAAAAAGACAGATTCTTGTTATTACATGTAGTTTAGAATTTCCTTGTGGCCTAGTTTGAGATGGAGCAGCCCATGAGTGGTGATGTGCACCAATTTCCTACATCAAAACCATTTATACCCAATTAGTAATTTCATACAATTGCATATATAGTAGAGTCAAACACAATATAAGTATTTGATACAAGTCCAATTTACAATTACCTTTGCAACTGTGGCCAATCCTTTTGCTTTTGAGTTAAGACCACTTATTGTGTTATTTCCTTTTGGCGTTTTAGGTCCTTTTGCATTTGAGCTAGACCCTTTAGATATGCTTGTACCGACTGTTCGCCCATGACTCTACATTATTTATGTTCACTTAGCGACTAGATAAGTGATATAACAAGACTCAAAATAAATACAATCCTTGTTGATCAAATTACCTCTTTTGTGAGTCCAAAACCTTGTTGTGATTGTAGTAGCCCTTGTGGACAACTTGTTTTTGTTGTGTCCTTCCTCTCCACAAGTTTGGCAATGCATTACAACATCATACTTCCTTAGCTTTGTTGCCCCCTTCTTTATCTCATCTGGTGCTTTTGTTCTTTTGCCTTTAGGTCTTCCAGGTTGTTTGTGGTAAAAAGGAGGTTTAATAGGCCTAAGGTAGGTTTTCTTCCACTGTTCTTTTTCAGGCATAGGAGCAATATACCCTTCATAACACCTATCATAAGCTGGCCTTTTGTAAAGTGAGTGAACAAACAATTGTGGACTAGCCTTCTTCCTAGCAATTGCAGATATAGCATGAGGACAAGGAATGCCACATAGCTGCCACTTCCTACAAGAGCAAGTGTGCCTTTCCAAATCTACTGCAAACATACTACCAACCAAAGTATGCACTTGATATTGACCATTCCCTGAATAATTGGCAAAACAACTGAAACTATCCATTTGATTTTTTTCAACAATCTTTAAAATTCTAGGTCCAACTTGTTGCGTCCACTTAGCCTCTCTTAGCCTAGCCATTCTCAACATCAAATATTTTTGAATCCTTTGTAACATTGTAATAATCGGTTTATCTCTTGCATCTAAAATTGCAGAATTAAATGACTCACACATGTTATTCAATAACAAATCACACTTTACCGATGTTCTGAAATAAGATCTGCTCCAATGGCAAGGTGGCTTATCAGCTAGCCATTCCACTGCCTTATCAAATTGATTATTCATCACCTCAATTTCAGCTTCAAAAGCAGGTACAGTAGTTGCTCTTTCTGCTGCCCACAATCTCTGTTTTAAGGCAAGTCCAGTGTGACCTGCACTTCTAAAATTATTATGCAAATGTCTAACACAATGTCTGTGTTCTGCAGTTGGCATCAGACTCCGAATAGCATCGCCTAGTCCTTTTTGTTTGTCAGTGATGAATGTCCAAGCATTTCCATTCTCAATTCCCACATCTTCGAAAAAAGATCTCCAAAAACCAAGTCCAAGTCTCCCTATTTTCCACCTCCACAACAGCAAATGCTATTGGAAACATGCAGTTATTGGCATCAACACCAACAACACTTAAGATTTGACCAGGATGGGGTCCCTTAATATGACACCCATCAAAACCCACTATAGACCTACACCCTTGTTGAAAGCCTTTCTTCAATGCAGCAAAGCATATGTACAACCTTTTAAAAATAGGGTTTTCACCTTGGAAATCTGTTTTTACTTTGATAGTACTCCCAGGATTTCTCACTTTCAACTCTTCCAAGTAATCCCAAAGCTTGGCATATTGCTTATCTATACTACCTTCTGTCACTTTTTTGGCAATTCTCTTTGCTTTGTAAACTTGGTTTTTTGTTATGTCAATACCATAATGCTTTCTCACAAGTTCCATGAAACCAGTCACACTCATATCGGGTTTCGATCTAAGCTCCTCATCGAACCGATCAGCTAACCAAGAGGAGGTGGCAAATTTAGAATGCTCATCTCTTACACAAATGTGTTCAGGATTATAGGTTTTAATTCTAACTGTTGGTCCCTTCCCCACAAAAGAGGTATACAATTTCCATTGACAAGGTACTGCAGCTTTTCCTAGACACTTGATCCGTAATCTGTTGGAATCATTCACTGCCCAATCTAGCGGTCGACAAACAGACACGCCATATGCCCTTACTGCCTCCCTGCATTGTTTCATGTTTGGAAATTCCAACCCTAGATGAAGAGTGGGATTGATTTTATCTGACTCTCTCCTATATTGAGGTAGCTTAGGTGTTTTGAGTCTTCTTCTAACCCTCACATTGGCTTCATGCTCTTCAGACTCAGACCTAACACTATCTAAATCTTCTGAATTGTATTCTTCAGTGGAGATCTCACCAAGTTCTCTGTGTGTTTCTTCAATAGAATCACTCACTACAATCTGATCAAACAAGATGTCATTTGCCTGTACATTTTTTGCACCTTTATCAGCATCTTCCTCGGATTGTTCATAGTCAGAATCCTTGAACTTAAGAGTAACCTCATCGTCATCTTCCTCTTTTTCTGAATCTGTAACCTCTTCATCTATTCCTTCTACAGTGTCTCTAACAACCTCCACACTCTTATTTTCTTCATATTCATCATCCGCATTAAACCCCTCAAACTGAACATCCATATCAACAAATGTAGCCGCACACGGATCACTCGCAAGATTGTTTGTGATTTTCCTTAAGTCAACCAAGTATAACAAATGCAACACATGTTGAGGAGATATGAGTGAAACCCACTGAAACACATCTGCATCGCATTCAATTTGCAAAAAACCCTTTATTTGGTGCCAATAGTAAAAACCCACAGTCTCTTTATTATACCCAAGCACTATAGCAACCTCATACAGATCAAGCATGGACATATAATCTTTAGTATAATTGTCAACCCACTGTACAATACCACCCACATACTGCCCATCTTTAAAGTGACCACCATGGTGTATTTCAAGTGTGAATAGGTCATGATTACCTACAACAAATGCATTAAACAAAGGATTAGTCAGTGAAAGTGATACGGAGCAGCTTGAATACCTAAGGATGACAATCAAAGAAACACTAAGACTGCATCCTCCAGCTCCGATGATTCTTCCGAGAGAAGCCATGTATCACTTCAAAATCCAAGGCTATGATGTGGACCCCAAAACACTCATCCTTGTGAATGAAGGGGCAATCGCACGAGATCCTAAGATTTGGAACGACCCAGAAGAGTTTTTCCCAGAAAGGTTTGATGGAAGCTCGGTTGATTTTAAAGGACAACATTATGAATATTTGCCATTTGGAGCTGGTCGAAGAATGTGTCCAGGGATATACATGGCGACAACGACACTACAGTTTGGACTTGCAAATCTTCTCTACTGGTTTGATTGGAAATTGCCTAATGGGATGAAGGTGGAAGATTTGGATATGGAAGAATCAGCTGACGCTTCTCTCACCGAAAGCTTACGTGAGGGATAGACAGAGAGAATAATTTGATAATTATTTGCTTGGTTTGTATCTTGGAGGAAATTGAGAAGGAAAAATTGAAGACTTACTGTATCTTGGAGGATGTCCACCATCTCTGACCACCATACTCATCATTCCCCTGCTTCTTGATTATCTTTTCTCAAATTGTAACCCTAGGATGCGGCTTGCGTTCCCCTGCTTCCCCATATACCCGACATCGATTAGGTTTGTTGTGGTATATGATTACCTTTTTACCCTCACACCATTAGCATGTGCCAAGCATGTGACCAAATTGGATAGAAAATTGGATGGAAAATTTTAAGATATAACGGTAGGGGGTAAATTGGTGAATTACACAAGTTCAGGGGGGTAATTGGCTAAAATTAAAGTTCAGGGGGGAAATTGGCAACTACTTACAAGTTCAGGGGGTAATTCGGTGAATACCTCTTCTTTAAATGATATCAAATCCCTTGTGCTGATCTTCTATCAATCAACACGTCTATAGCCAGCAGACCCAAGTTAATCTGAACTCTGTTGCTAATGCTTCCCATTAAAGATAATGAGAATCCCACTTATTTTGTACAAGAAAACCAAGATAAAGATAATTATTATGATTAAAAACCATAAGATTATCTCTTAACAATAACAAAATACCTTAACTTCCTTATCCGACGATTAAGAACAATGCTTACTCAACGGCCTTAATCACTTGGGCTGATGGTTAAAATCATGTCCAAACAGATATATAAACATTATTGCAGTTACCACTTGGATATCACATCATTTTTCATTTAGATTCTTCGACTAGAGTTTGTTTTATCATCTAAGCCTGATGAATCAACATCATTTCATCTTTAGGCTCGTTTTTATATGTTGATTCAAGTACATGTTCATCATTCATCTTACAGTTTAAATTATATTGCGTTTTGAAACAAAGCATGCACAGTGAATTAGAAATTTAGGTATCTTATCTTTTTTGTTATATGTTTGAATATCAACTATCCTAGTTAATTAATAGGAAGCTTCAATACAAAAAGGTTTAGGCCAACTTTTTCTTAACAAAAAACCACCATAAAGTTTTCTTTAATCAAAATGGCTTGAGATTTAATCATAAAAACAAAACTATTCATAAAATAACCCTACAAACATTAAAAACATGGCCTGAAGTGAAGTCCAATCCACAATAAAATTGTTTTTTTTCAGAATTACCCCTAATAGAGCCTAAACCAATCCCTTAGGCAATTCACAAATATTAAGATGTACCATATAAATCTCACTGCCAGTAAGGTAGAGCACCAACTGCTTTCATCAAACGCTAACTTCAAAGTAGTACAATTTCTGTTTTTTTTTTTTAAATTTATTTTGGAAGACAGTAGTACAATTTCGTTAATTGCCATTAAGGCAAAGCTTTCAAGTCATACAACCGTTTTCATCAGCACCATTAAGGCACAAAGCATGCAAGTCGTGCAATTTTTTATTTTTTAATTTCTTATTTTTTAATTTTTTAAATTATCTCTACTAATTAATAAAACACTCATTGTTAACCAAAACCCTATGAAATTATTAATTTAACCATCTAATTAAAACAGAACATGGATAAGAAATATGGGGTAGAAATGTAATTTCACACAACCAAATTTTGCTTTTTTTTTTTTCAAAGCCTTATCAACATGTAATCGTAACATATCTCTATTTAAAATTAAAAAAAGAAAAATAACCTCCCACTCCCACATTCTCTATCACTCTCTTCCTCTCTCCTATTTCAAAAACAAAATTATAAAAAAAATTCTCACACACTTTGTGTGTGCCCATATGCTAGTGATTATTAAAGAAAGAGTGTGAGTTACTATAATAATTTAGAAAAATGAAATTTTCGAACGTATGCGTGGAAATTCAATACCTTACCAATTAGGATACCAGACCACTTGCAATTGTACAATTCCACAAACATAAATCCCATTTCATAAAACATAAAAGTTCAAATTAAATTCCATTTGAACTTGGATTCCCATTTTCAAACCATACTTAGGCACAACAAATTAGGAATTTCTCAAAGCAAAATTACCATTTGCAGAAGAAACTCAGAAAATTCTCAAAGCAAAATTGAAACATAGAGGTATGAACTCATATCCTTGTTGATTTCTTACTTTCAAATTACTGTTAGGCCAAGGGCCATTTTAAATCCTCTATGTGTAGAGTCTTAATTAATTAGATTTTTTAAAAAATTGCACAAATGACACCTATATTTCTTTAACTTATATCATTTACCATCCTGGCTAATAAAGTAACAATAACCACCCAAACTAAATATTTTAACAGTATTTCTACCTACTAGCTCCTGTATGGATATGTGGCATCATTTAACTAGAGGGGAACTCAAGCTCAGTCAATGTACTTATCACCTAGAAAAATTTCTTGAGGAGTGGATGGACCACTTTTGAGATAATTGGGCCTGATTTTTACAAGGAAGATGGAATTCGACCCTAGACGCATTTTAATGACCAGTCATGAGTAGTGTGAGTTATTTTGCTGTAGTTTGAGAAATAGTATGAATTATTTTGGTTAGTTTTAGAAATAATGTGGGTTATTTTGCTTAAGTTTCAGAAATAGTGCGATTATTTTGCTGTTTTTCCAAAAATAATGTGGGTTATTTTGCTATAGTTCCAGAAATAATGTGGATTATTTTGGTTAAGTTTAAAAAATAGTGCGGTTATTTGGCTATAATTCCAAAATTAGTGTGGTTAATTTGATGTAGTTCCAGATATAATGTGAGTTATTTTGGGTGTGTAATACTTAAAAGACAAATGTTGTTTTTATATTTTGAAGTAAAATTTATGTGACAATGTGATACATATACAAATTTAGTCTTATGTTTTCAATTTTTTGGGGGTAAAAGTATGTTTTTCATTTTCATTATTTTTTGATTTAAAATGTATTTTCCTTAACGGGTAACAGGTCGGATCATATTACCTGATAAAATTAATGGGTCGATTTCGGGTTGAGTCTTATTACCCGTTTACTTTAACGGGTGTTACATGACACAATCCGTTAAGATATCAGGTATGTCACGAAAACAACACGAATACGGAAACCATGACACGAATGCCAGGTCTATGTATCGCACAACCATATAAGTAGTGTATGCTTGTCATGAACCAAAAGTTCATTGACCAAATCATCGCATAATTATTCTTGGCCATTCTCTATTCACAATGAGGCATATGATTATCTTTGATATATTTTGAGACCTTAACATAACACATTGTGCACGTCTTTGCCAGGATTGCACACATTTAATTGCCCCTCAAATCATCTAAGTCCAAATTGACCCTGGATCTCCATTTTCTTCTCGAGAATTTAAAAGCGTATTTGTACTAATTGAGGAATATTTGATTCCGATGTATCTATAAGATGGTCATAATACTATTTGTTTTCTATTACAATCGCAATTTTCCAAAATTGTAGGCTATTTCATGCCACTTGAGGTTACTTTTGAGCATACTACTTCTCATGGCTTACCACAAACTTTAAGCATTTTATTTATTGCATATTTCTTCTTGGGAGATGCATCTAATCACGTGCATCATCATGATCAACTCAGTTAAGGTATATTTTCCAACCAATAAGTAACTGTGTACATAAAGATGATTTTCATTAGTTAAAATTAAGATTCAAGTCAATTTGTTTTAAGATGTGCTCATAGTTACCCTAGTTTTGTGGATTGTCACTTTGGTGAGACAATTTCTGACATTAAGGGGAGGAATGATAGTTTTCAAAGAACGTCGAGAATTAGCATTTATACATTTGCATTTGTCTCCTCCAAACTATAAATGACTGACTATATAATGATTAATCTATTGGATGCCTAAAGTATGACAGATATATAGGTTCTAAACTTTGAACTCCCCCATAAGTTGAGATTAATGAAATTCAAGTCAATTGAAAATAAATCTATATAGAGGGTATGATCCAATTCTCTAAGTAATTCATCTTAAGATTTTTTGTCCTAGATGTGACAGTGGAAGCCTTGAAAAGGCTTGTACCCAAGCAATGAAATAATTATAAATTAAGCATCTGCATTCGCATGATATTGTTGGGTAATAAATTATTGATAATCGATAATTTTTATTATGGTGGCTACTTATATCATCAATGGCTATTCAGTCACATTTTCCCAATAATGTCAACAAAGTGAAAGGGTTGGCCAAAAGTAAAAAGAAGTAACTCCATTTTGCGCCATTGAAAAACGTAAAATTGATATAATTTAAATCCCAAAGGTTATTCTGGGGTGTGTGTAATGAAATGATATAAAATCACTAATATGGCATAAGAAGCACATCAAGTGGTCTGGTGGTAACGGCGCAGACTGTAGCTCTCCAATAAGCAAAAAAAATATGGTAGGTCTTAGGCTCGATGTTCCGAGCTAGGGAGTCTGCTTGACTATATCCACAGGCAAGGTGAAATTCCCCATAGCCTATCTGGGCTCAGAAGGGGTGGATATCCGTGGTTTGCCACTAGTTGTCCCCATTTTTTAAATATACATACATGTATACATACATAAATACATCTATGGCATAAGACTTTGTAATATATTCTCATTGTAGATGCAACCACATTTCTATAAATTTAGCGTTACTTTAGATGTGAGAATATGGCATGTGGAGATTGTATACTAACAGTTTGAGATTTTATATTTCGAAGTAATTCTTAGGGTATGAAAATGCCATGAAATTCTTTATCAAAGTTTTCAAATGAATATCCTAAACACCAAAGAATACAAAAAGCTATTGTCAACTGCAAACTCCCACACTTCCCAGGATGAAGTTCTACTAAAGTTCAATTTCTTGAAAAATGAAATCACATTACTTCAAACTTGACAATTATGATAAGTCGAATGAATGCTTACTGTCATAAGGGGGAATCACTTATCTAGCGGAGTTATTAATCAGGGTGAGTTTTTAACAATATGCTACGATGGACATATAAGCGCATTGTGCTCTTTTCCCTTCAAC